GTGTAAYTGATGTCATATGTGTATCACAGGTCTCTCTTGTAAATGAAATGGTCTCATTTGCCTCAATGAGATTAYATTAAATAAAAACCAGGAAGTTCCAAACCTATTTTTCAAGAGAGACCAGACCAAAATAGGCAGCAGCAAATACAGCACATACATAGTTCCCACATCACAGTAACACAACTAAATTCAAACATCAAATGGAAAAACATGAAAAAATAAATAAATCACATTGAGAATAACAGGTACAAGTTATGGAGTTAGTCTCAAGTYSTTTCAGCTTTGATTTAAAAGCACTCAGTGAAACTAAATATGTTAGTTTCCAGTCTTCCTACAGTGTATTCTATGTAGGTGGTGCAGAACAGACAAAAGCCTTTTTCCCCCAATTCAGTCTGCAGAATGGAGAAAAAAGCATTAAATAATTCTGTGAGCAGATGGAGTAAGAGCTAGTACTTCTCTTTTAATTAAAGTACAAATGAGGTAAGAAGTCTTGCCTTCCTTCTGTTGGCCAGAGCAGACCATTCTACCCTTAAGTACAACTCACAGTGATGTGTCAACACCTAACAGTTTGTAATGGCATGGTAAACAGTGTCAATCATTCAAGACATGTAGCAGATGTTTTCATATACAAATGACCTCCATAATTCAACACTGGTAAGAAAGTAGCAGCAACTACGTAGTCACTTTTTCACAATTAAAAAAAAGTGATGTGATAAAATAGTTACACAAGTAAAGACTTTTGATGAAATTATGATAATATTTACCAACCTTAGCTACAGGTCATCACAAATATAGAGAGAAATGTTGCAAAAACCCAGCTAGAACTGATTGGACCAGTGGATTGACGTGTGTGGGTGAAAAAGGGTTTTTCCCCCACTTAGTGTTTCTTTGTATTTGTTGTTTGTAACCTAGAATCTAAAAGGATTTTTKTTCATAAGTAATGCACCTATATATTTCCAGTTAATGAAGGTTAACGGGGGGATGGAGAAAGTTTTAAATAGTTGTAAAAATAAAGGTGCTAAAGTCAGAYGATAAAAGTGAACTTTCTGAATGTCAAAGACGTCTGGCAAAAACCAAACACCTTTGATCCTGTGGAAAACACCATCCCCACAGTGACATTCGGTGGAGGCAGAATCATGCTGTGGGTGTGTTTTTTATACAGCGACTGGGATGCTTGTCAGAGTATAAAGGCAAGATGAATGAAGCAATTTATGAAGAATTTCTTTTTAGGGTCTTCCTGAAATTTGAGACTGGGATGGAGGTTCACCTTCCAGCAGGGCAACAACCCTAAACACACAGCTAAAGCAATAGTGGTCTAAGAAGAACCAATTAAATGATCTAGAATGGTTCAGTCTATCTAAGTCCTCAGTCCAACTGAGAATCTCTGGTTTGATTTAAATACTTTCTGGACACAATAACACCCATTGTAACACAGTACTGTGTTAAACACAGTAAAGAAGAGAGAAAACTTCCAGCAGTGAGATGCTGTTGACTTAGTGTGGTGAATAATTCCTAGATGCACAAACTACTTTTTAATTTTATGTTTTTAGAATGATTTAAAACAAGTTTATTTTCCTATTTAACATAACTTTTCTGGGGTATTTGTGTAGGATTATTTATTAAGTGTAATCAAATTAAACATCTATTTAAATTCCAGATTGTAAGGCAACAGTATCAAGAGGGGAAATACCTTTGCAACCAACTCCATAACCTGACAGTTTTATTCCTTTAAACTAATTTTTTGTTGACCTCATTAAGCATAATTTCTAGTTCATGCATTATTTCTGTAAAGCACAATGCCTTTCACGCTGGGGAGCAGCCACATCTGTCTTCCAAGGTGCATTTTTAAAACACAAAAATGCATTTCCAGGTTATGCAGAGCCCTCCCCCTCAGAACAACTCACTGATCGGCCTGACAGTGATGCATTCAAATGGGTCATCCTGTAATTGTTCTTTCCTGTGGCTACTGGCCGGGTTAGAATTACATAATGATGACAAAGCTGCCGACCTGGCCTCCTAAGATAAAAGTCGCAGTACCGGACTGTATACATTCTCTGAATGCTTCGTCTGTGAGGTTCTCTGAAGGATGGGATTGTTTCAGAGCTGCTCACTGACAGCATTGGACCTTTGACTCTGTTATTCAGCCGGCAAAGTTTGGAACGTCTGCGTAATATGGGCATGTTACTGTGTGATTATAAGCTGCATATTTTGTACTATTTCACACAATGTCAGGAGTTTTAACCACACTGTTAGGTGGACTGTTTTTACTTCTTGAAGTAAAGAGCCCACTGAGTCCTGGTTGGACCTGATGGATAACACCCACTGTAACACAAAAGCAAAGAGGAATTCCTTCGCAGGATGTCCTGTGGCCTGCTCCAGGCTTCAAAAGACATCCTATTGCCATATGACTAAATCAGATGTTGCGGGTGACCAATATGACCTCGCAACTGGAAGCAGCACAAAGGACACTCAGTTGTCTGACACAGAAACACACTGGCACTTGGAAGACAATGCGCCTCCTGTGCCGAAACCATGTTTACCCCATCAGGCAAACCAGCCAGGCTGCGGAGCAGCTTTTACGCTGCCGGAAGAGGTGCCGCAGTGGCACACGAGTTTTTGTCCAAACAGGAAATGTTAAGAACGAGTCAGGGTGACGTAGCTGCAGCCAAATATGTGCTGGAATGCTAGTGGAATGAAATGTCACCTGTGAGAGAATGCGGTGGAGTTTCAGCAGACATTAATGGAATTCCGGGTGTTGCAATCGTGCTGTGAAGCAAATGTTCCTACTTTTACTAAGGTATATATCAAAGTGAGAAACAACTTAGGTTCAACTTTATTTTAATATAGATTTTCCCCCAGACTTAACCAATACCAGCCACAAAAAGTTGCCATGCACAAACTGGATTTCAGGTTTTTCAATCACAGGCTCAAAATACCAAGGGTAGATGCTCAACAAAGGCATAGAGTACCAGAAATATAAATATATACATGCATATTTTGTGTGCATTCACACTTTTACTTATATAGCCATTTTCCCTGCGTACTTCATAAAAAAGTTACTCATTTAAAATAAAGTTAAAAAAACTAAATCACTGAAATTATATTCTGAAGCTGTAGATGTTTCACCTCTCATCTGGGAAGGTTTGTCAAATCAAAAAAGGCTTTATGAATTAATTTTGAATTGATAAAGTTGCTTGGATGGGAAACAAAATGTCTTTAGCTTTAGAAGTCCAAGATTTTTGTATAAAACTTCAGCTGGAGTCAACTCAGTCTGTCTGCTTCAGGAGCAGTTATGTAAAGAGGGATGGAGTAAAATTCCCGTGTCTGGATGTGCAACATTGATTGAGACCTCAGCCAAAG